CTGGAGGGGTCAGAGAGGGACACAAGGATGGGATGGGTGTCCTGGAGGGGACAGAGGAGGATGCAGAGTTGGGTTGGGGGTCCTGGATGGGCCCAGCAACACACACGGGGAGGGCTGGGGGCTCTGGATGGGATGGGAGGGATGCAGGGTTGGGCTGGGAGTCCAGCAACACACACAGGGGTCAGCTTGCAGCCCTGGATGGGGCTGGGGCCAGGGGGGCAGAGCCTGGGCTGGCAGCATGGCATGGAGGCACAGGGCCAGGCTGGCAGGTCGGGAGGTAGGTGAGCCCCCACACCCCCTGCAGTGCTCCTTGGCCCCCCTTGCCCCACCTGAACCCCTCCCCATCCCCACAGACACTGAGATCGACTGGAAGGCCTACATGCAGGAGGTGGAGGGTTTCGCCAACGGGACCCTGGACTACACCCAGCTGAAGGGTGACACAGGGCCGCTGGTGTGAGTGACAGGGACACCCAGCTCCCCGTGACCGTGACCGGCGGCTCCCAGGAGGGGCCGCAGGGCCCGGCCCCTCACTCCTGTCTCCCCACAGTTACCCCGCCGGCTTCGTTTACATCTTCCTGGGCCTGTACCATGCTACAGGCCGCGGCTCCAACATCCGCCTGGCACAGTATCTCTTCGCTGCCCTCTACCTGCTTAACCTCCTCCTTGTCTTCCGCATCTACTGCCGAACCAACAAGGTACCCTGGGGCCAGGGCCTGTGCCAGCCACCTCAGAGCCTGCCCTGCACTGCTGAGTCTTCACCCCAGCAACACGGGCAGGGGTCTCAGGTTTGGAGGGACTCAGACATAGGGGCTCGGTGACAGGCTGCTGACCCTTGTGTGTCTCTGCCCTCTGCAAGGTACCCCCATACGTTTTCTTCTTCATGTGCTGTGCCTCGTACCGCATCCACTCCATCTTTGTGCTGCGGCTCTTCAATGACCCCGTGGCCATGGCCATCCTCTTCCTCGCCATCAACCTCTTCCTGGAGGAGCACTGGTCCTGGGGCTGCCTCCTCTTCAGGTGAGGGGCTGGGGGCTGCTCTCCATGGCGTGCTGGGGGCCTGAGCCAGCTGGGCCCTGGGGAGGAGGCTGCGCTGGGCTCGGGGGCTGCCCAGGCTCCCATGTGGGGTCTGCAGTGGTAACACAGCTTCCCACTCAGCCTGGCTGTGTCTGTGAAGATGAACATCCTACTCTTTGCACCTGGACTCCTCTTCCTCCTCCTGCAGCGCTTCGGTCTCCTGGGCTGTATCCCCAAGCTCTGCATCTGTGCCCTGCTCCAGGTGGGTCCCTGCTTGCAGTGGCTGCAGGAGCAAGGAATAGTGGGCTACCTGCCTGTGTCACAGCATCCTGCCAGGCTTTAGAGCCATGGTTGGGTACAGTGGCATCAGCACCTGTGCTGGCCCCACACAGCAAGCTGGTGTTGATAAATAATCTAATTCATGGGGCTTTCATCTTTGGCTGAGTGTCCTTGTCGCCCCACATGGCACTGAGGAGGTGACAGGGTGACAGACCTGGCATACGGCTGCTGCCATGGTGCTGGTGTGTCCCTGGCAGGTGGTTCTGGGGCTGCCCTTCCTCCTGGTGAACCCTATAGGGTACCTGACCCGCTCCTTCGACCTGGGCCGCCAGTTTCAGTTCAAATGGACGGTGAACTGGCGCTTCCTCCCAGAAGAGGTTTTCCAGAATCGGGCTTTCCATGCCGCGCTGCTCCTGGCTCACCTGGCTGGCCTGGGGCTCTTTGCACTGCACCGGTGGCACAGGTGAGACCTGGGGTTCCCTTGGGTGCTGGTCCCTGCCAGCCCCCATAATACAGGATACAGATCCATGACTCGCCTGCCCCCACAATGCTCCAGTCCTGGAGTTGCAGGCAGGAATGGGGGGGTGTTACTGTTCTGTTTTGGGGCCCATGCTGCCCAGGCATCGTGGCTTACAGGGGAGGGTTGGGGTGGAAGAGACTTTCAGCAGCTGAGATTGATGTTTGTGCTTCTCCCTCAGTTCCAAAGAGAGCATCCTGACTTTGCTGAAGGACCCTGCCAAAAGAAAACCCCCATCCCCTCCCTTGACGGTCAATGATATCCTTTGACAGGGTGGGCAGCAAGGGCAGGGAGAAGGCAGGGAGGACCTTGGTCATGCTCCAGGTCCTGCAGTGCTGCCAGGACCAGCCTGTCCTGGAGGAAGGAGCTGTGCTGGATGGCTGGGGAGCTGTTGTGGGATCACACCTCCATCCTCCCATGTTTGCCTCCTTAATGCCTGTGCACAGATTGTCTTCATCCTCTTCTCCTCCAACTTCCTGGGTATCTGCTGCAGCCGCTCCCTGCACTACCAGTTTTACGTCTGGTATTTCCACACACTGCCCTACTTACTCTGGTGCACCCCAACCACCAAGCTCGCCCACATGCCCAAGTATGTGCTGCCAGGGAGGGGGAGCACCCAGCTGCTGGGGGTCTGGGAGCAAGGGGGGTTCATATGTGTCCCCCATGCAGACCCCTAGCTTTTTCCACTGCAGGGTGCTGCTCCTGGGTGTGATCGAGCTCTGCTGGAACACCTACCCCTCCACATTCTGCAGCTCCCTCTCCCTCCACATCTGCCATGGACTCATCCTGCTCCAACTCTGGTATGGCACGGCCCCCATGCCAGTGTCGCACACCCCCACACCGAGCAGGAAACGCATAGCCACATCCAAGAAAGCCCAGTGAGAGTGTGGAAGGCCAGACAGTGGGAACTGGCCTCTGGGACTGCCAATTCTGCCTGCTCTTTCCCCACCCAGCTCCCAGGCTGCTCACAGCCATCCCAGGAGAGCCACAAGCCCTTGAACTGTGCAAAGGGGGGGGGGTGGGGACCCCCAAAAGGCAGGACTTCCACAATAAAGGGGGCTTTTATGTGCCCTTCCCCAGTGTCCTTGTGCTGTGACGGTGTCAGAACACCTAGGGGAAGGCAGAACAGCTGCTGGGGCCATGGGCACTCCCTTTGCAGCCCAGGGAGAGGGTGCCCAGGGCAGGCAAGCAGCCTCTGAGGGGGGGTTAAAACAGAGGATCCGCAGAATAGCTTTGCCTCAAGGTTTGAATTGCCTTGATGGAGCCCAGGGACCCCTCCAGGACTTTTCCTGTTCCCCTGTCTGCTCCCTCCCATGGTAGATGGCTGGGAAGGTGGTGACCCCCCCCCAGGATTCTGGTGAGCCCTGGTGTGGCCTGAATGGAGCCGACTACTCGCTGTCCGCAAGAGAGACGCCAGTGCAGGTGGCTTGGAGCCAGGTGTCTTTATTGGCCCCTCGGGCGGCTGTCAGACGTTGTTGGGGTTGTAGCACAGCATGTTCAGCTTGATGTTCTCGTCCCAGTGACGCAGCAGCAGGAACAAGTGCCTGGCTGCCCCTTTGAGGCAGCCCACGTCCACCCCCTCGGGCAGCTGCTGTGCCTGCAGCCACGCGTCCGCCTTGGCCGCCACCAGCTCCCACTCCTCAAAGAATCCAGCACAACGGTGCTCCAGCCATGCCAAGGCCACCGCTGTGGCCCAGCTGGCACTCTCCAGGTCCTCCAGCCCCATGTCCTGACAGCTCACACCAGCCTCGGAGGGGGCAGCTGAGTGGGGGCAGGTGTCGGACTCGGAGCCGTGCCCACTGTCCGCCTGTGCCCACACGGCTGCACTGGGCACCTCGGAGCAAGTACTCCGGGATGGGGGCGAGCTGGGCTGAGGGTCTGTGGTGGGCTCCTCACCCTCCTCGCCAGCAGGCCCTGCCTCGGGGCTGCTCCTGGCCCCTGGGGACACGGGGCTGAGGCTGGCACGGTGGGAGGTGTAGGGGGAGGCCCGGCGCAGGCGGTCCAGAGGGATCTGCACCACTTCCGAGAAGCTCTCTGTGAGCTGGAATGGCCCCCTGGCTTGTTGAAGCTGCACCTGCAAGGGGGAGGCAGGGCTGCAGGAGTGTCCTGGGGCACAGGGACAATCTAGTGCCCCCCAAAATGCCAGCCAAGATCCTCAGAGACATTCAAGGGTGCAGCAGGGCTGAGCAGGCACCTACCTGGTTTGCATCTTCTGCTGTTGGTGCTGCTGGGCGTAACCTGGGCAGCTTTGCTGGCACCCAGAAGGGAAGGTGCCCCCGGTGGGATGGGGATGAGGACTGGGATGGGGACAGGGATGGGGTCCTTACCAGTGGGAGGTAGTCATGGATCGCATGGTTGCTGGAGCGCTCGCTTTCCGGGCTGAGGCACTGCGGGCGCAGCACCAGGCTGGGACCCCTGCGCCTGCTCAGGCTAAACCTGTGGGGCAACAGGCAAGGTAACAGGGTGGGGGAAAATTCCAAAAGGGCAGCTGGACTCCAGCCTGCTGCAGGGAAGGGGCTGGAGCACCAAACCCCCCACTTATGCTGCAGGAGCTGGCAGAGGACATTGGACCAGCAGCACTCAAAAAGCGGTACCGTTCCCCTCTCCCCACAACATGCCATTTTTGGTCCCTTGCATCCCCCCCATCCCACAGTGTCACCTGGAGCCAGCGATGCTCTCTGTGGATTTCTGGGAGCCCATGGAGGTGGTGGAGGGGCTGGATGGAGGCCCTGCAAGGGGGAAGAGCTGAGCACAGGGAGAACGTGATGCACGCGGAGGTGTGTCCCACTCCCCACCACCTGGGAGGGTGGCTCAGCCCATGTGCCCAGGGCGGTGACAGCACAGTGGATGCACCAGCTCCCAGCTGCCAGCAGCAGGATGTCAGATTGCCCCCTGTGTCCCCCCCTCATCCAGCCCTCGGTCCCCTCCAGCCTGGACACACCGTTTGAGCAGTTTCGCTTTTCCCAGCCATAGGTGGGGGAGGAGATGCTGGCTGGAGTCCTGGGGGTCCCATCTCGCTCTGCAAAAGAGCAAAGTCCTGAGGGGCCCTGGGCTCCAGGGAGCCTCATCACTCACAGCTGCTGCCAGGGACTGCTATGCTGTTCCCCCATGTCTCCCTCCCCAGTGTGGGGCAGATGCCTCTTTCCAGGCTCCACAGCACTCCAGGGAGGACCAGCCCCATGCAACCACCAGCTGAGGATCCCCAGGGACCCCTGTGCAGGTCCCCGGGAAGCATAAACTAAATAAAGGCCTGAGTTGGTACCTGCAGTGCCAGGGCCCTCATCCTGCTCTTCTGCATCCTGCTGCTGGCCCTGCCCCGCTGAAGAGCTGCGGTGGTGCCAGCTCCCTGCTGCAGCAGCTCGTGTCCGGTTGGCTGAGCCAGCTGCAAGGGATGATGCCACCTCAATCCTCTGTCCCTTCACTACCCCCTCCTCATCCTGCCAGACCCTTGTCTGTACCTGTGCTCCACACCTCAGGGGCTGCAGGCAGGGCAGCCTGTGTGGCACCGTCCACAGGCACCAGGCGGGTGTAGAGGGAAGGCACGTTGCAGGCTTTGCTGGTTTGCACAGCTTTCAGGCGAAACCGGCGGGCGAAACCTAGCCAGAGCAAGATGTTTAGGGAGAGGGAAATGCCAGGGCTGCACAGAGGGGGGACACGCACTGGCACCCACCCTGCTCCAGCTCAGCTTCCCGCTGTGCCGCGCTCTCATTGTCCCGGATGACGGAGCGCGCTGCCAAGCGGTGCACTGGCTTGTCCCAGGCCTTGCCCCCCCGGCGCAGTGGGTCCTCCCTGCCCAGCCCGTGCAGCAGTGACTCCAGTGAGGCTGTCACTTCCCAGGACACAGGTTTGCCAGCTCGTAGTCCGTGGATCACCACCTGGCAGCGCAGGGGCAGGCTGGCATCACCCAGACTGGGCTGCCTCGGCTCAGGTGCTGGTGAGGTGCTGAAGAGGTAGGAGGGCTCCACCAGCATGTCCCAGTCCAGGGGTGTGGGTGAGAGGAGGTTATCTGGGCAATGGCAAGGTGTGGGATCAGCAAGGCAGGAGCACCCGACTCTCTCCCCACCACCCTCGTCCCCAGAGGCAGCACGCACTTGACTCCACTGCATTGGGCTGTGTTTGCCGTGCCTGGGGTCCCAGCTCATCCAGCTGCCCCTCCAGGGACTGGTTCCTCTTCTGCGACACCTTCTCCAGGGCCCGGCACAGCTGGTGGGTGTCCAGCTCTCCGTGTGGTGTGGAAAAGCTGCGTCCAGCCAGGGCGGCACGTGCCAGCACCTTCTTCTGTCGCGCCAGCTCCTCCGTGCTCAGGGCCACTGTCACCTGCGGTGGGGACAAGGCTGTTGTCAAGCCTGGAAAGGTGCTGGCACAAAGCCCAGATTGCACTGAGCCATGAGGTGGCATCTGCACCCCTCTGGCTGCTGGCTGGAGACACTGGCTGTTGCCAGCCCCGTCACTCTGCAGGCTGGCACCAGCAGCCTCCCAGGCTGCTTGCCTGGCTCCCTACATGTGGGAAGCACCCAGACAGGAGTTTGCAAACATCCCTGGGGACTGACTCAGGCTGACACTGGAGTTGCCAGGGATTTGTGTGTGTGCAGGAAGCGGGGTTAGCCAGGATGCCCAGGCCGGGTGATGTTGCACTGGGATGCAGTCCCCAGTGCAGAGTCATGTCCCCACACTGAGATGCTTCCCCTAAAAGCCACGCCAGGGCAGTGGCATCCAAGCCACCTCTTGCCCAGGCAGCAGGGGGCCGGGGAGGATCATTTACGCTGCAGGGAAATCACTTACGCTTGACATTTCAGCAGCAAAGGTCACCAGCTGTGCTGCTGGGCGACAGGAACAGGTTACCTAACCCATACCACGGGAAGGAGCATGTCCTGGGGCTGGGGGACAGCTGGCCTCGCCCGGCCTCAGGGCTGTCATCACCGGGGCAACTGCCTCTCCCCATCCCAGGGACCCAGCTGGGTTTTAAACCCAGGTATGAAACAGCAGGAATGTGGCCCACCGCTAATGAAGCTTCTGGCAGCATTTGCTGAGAGCTGAAGGAGCCAGGCAGGAGCTCAGCCAGCCGGCCCCTCCTCTCAACAGATTTGTTACCTGATGCTGGCCCAGCTATTTTCACTTGGTTTCTGCAGCATCGAGGAGGCACTGAGTTGGCTCAGGGGTCTGTTAGACACCCAGCTGACTGCTGGCCAGTGACACTGGGGGATCAGCTGCTTGGTCCCCAGCTGTCCCATTCCAGCAGTGAAAACCCCCAAAGAACCTCCTCATGGCACCCATGGCTGATCCTTGCTTAAAATCCAGGCTACAGCACTCTGGTTCCCAGCCCAGCAGCCATGTGCCTGGGCACAGCAGGGCAGCAAGACCCCAGCTAAGTCAGGAACAACCCCCGCACCTGTGAGTCCCTGCACTCCACTGGCATCCTTACCTTGGTGCCAGCCGGGGCGGAGGGCAGTGGGGCAGATTTGGTGGAGGATTCACAGAGGGACAGGCTCTTCTGGCCCTGCTGGGAGGTGACATCCGCACCAGGGGCCAAGGAGCCTCCCTCGGGGGCTACATCCCGAGAGCCAGTGGACTCGCTGCTGGTGGAGCTGCGGGAGAGCAGCCCCCGGCTGTGGTCAGTGCTGACAGAGCAGTGTGTCAGGACATACTGCTCCTGGATGTAGGAGGGTTGGTAAATCCGCTTCCAGATGTCTCCCCCTGATACGGGATCCATACCTGCCCAATGAGCAGACACCCTGTCAGCCCATAGCTCCCATGTGTGCCCCCCACCCTGGCCCTGGACCCCACTCACTCCGCTCTGACACCTCTGTACTCCCAGCAAAAAGTTCCAGGGAGGCATCCCCAGATCCTGGGTTGCTCTGGGGTGGCTGGCGGCTCTCCCCAGGACTGGGCACCTCCTCCTGGGAGGGAAAGGCTGAGCCCCGGGAGCCCTGGCATGCCCCTTCCCGGCCCTAAGGGAAAGAAGGCATCACCATCAGCCCCCTGCCTGGGGAGAAGCCAGCAGCACCGGGAGCATGCCATCCTCCACGTGCCAGGGTGGTGCCAGCCGTACCGGATGGTGCCTGTTGCCAAAGCGGGCGATGCTGTAGAGGACGCAGTAGCTGACGAGGCGGTCGCCAGGGTAGAGGGCTGGGAGCTCAGTGGGGGAGAGCAGAGCCTCCATGCTGTCAGGGACGTACCAGTCGATGGTGATGTCGCTGACAGCCGGCTCGATCGCCTTCTTCAGGGACTTGATCAGCTGGGGTGGGGAGAGGACACAGTGTCAGACATGGCAGTGCCCCCCAGTGCCCTCTGTTGCCCCTGCCCGGGCGTTACCTTGGGCTGCAGCCTCTCGGCCGGGCTCAGGAACTCAGCACGGCCCCGGCTCACTCTGGCCATGCCCTTCAGCAGCTGCTGGCACACCCGGGGGCCCATGCCAAAGCTGAAGCACCTGCAGGAGAGCCGAGTAATGGAAAGCCATGGTCAGGCTGGTGCCAGGGACTGGCAAGCCCAGTGGTGAGCTCAGCAGCAGGGCTGGAAAGGAATGTCTGGTAGCCAGAGTGCCACCCTGGCTGCATGCTGGGCTCTGCCACCCGCAGGGAGAGCTAAGCCAGTGGGTTGAGAGATGTGATGGGTGAAGGACACCCTCGGGGCTGGTGGAGGTGAGACTTTGGGCTGCATAAGGAGAAATCAGTGGGAACAGCACAGGGGACATGGAGAACACTGTGACCTGCCGCAGTGCCAGTGCCATACCTGACAGTGCTGGCCTGTCTGCGCACCAGCCGGAGGATCCTGCCTGCATTGCCCACCGCTGTGCCAGTGAAGAGGAAGAGCTGGCGAGGGTATCCATGGTGGAGGGGCTGTACCAGCGCCCAGCCCAGGGCTGCCAGCAGGTTGGTGCTGCCGGGGTCTGCCCGCAGCCCACCAAGGTGCTCACAGGCACGGCGCAGGGTCTCCTGTCAGCACAGAGAGCCAGCCTCACAGCAGTCCCACAGCTCAACAGCCCCCACCCCAGGGAGCTGGGACGGGGACAGAGACAAGCTGGTGGGGGGCTTTGCCTGGAGCACTCACGTTGCTGCAGAGGCGACTGGAGGGGAAGAGCGGCTTGACATCAGCACCAAAGCCGGCAATGTTGAGCAGTGTCCCTGATGGGAGGCTCTTCAGAGCCACCAGCAAAGCCTCCTGGGGTGACATTGGGGACCAGGGAGTGTTGCTAAGGACCAGCCACCCAGGGAGCATCCCTGGACCCATGGCCGTGCCTCACCTTGACCTTTTCAAGGTCTGGGCTGCTCATGGAGCTGCTGCAGTCGACGAGGAAGAGGATCTCACGGGTGACACTCTGCAGGTCCCCAGGGATGGTCTCCACCACCGGGCAGAAGTTCAGCATCAGCACAGGGTTGGGGAAGATGTCTTTGTGGAAACGCCTCTGCACAAAAGCCACCTGCAAGCCAGGCAGGTCAGGAGCTTTCTCACACCACCTGGACCATGTCAGGGTCTTCCTCACCCACGTTCCATTACCTCCCCCCCTTCCTCCTCCTCCTTCCTGTTGGGCCAGCAATGTCACCTGTCTCTCGCCACTGCTGTCTTTCCTGGCAATCCGCACGTAATCCCGGCGGCTCCGGATGTGTGCCTCGTACTCGGGGTATGTCATGGTGCCGTCCTCAATCACCAGGTGGGGGTGATGGGGCTCTGAGGGGCACAGGAGAATTTGGAGCCAGCCTGTGCCACAAGGGGCTGGGCGACACTCAAGATGGTTTTGGGGTGATGCCCCAAACCTGCCAAGGGCACTGTCCCCTCTCACCACAAGGGTAGAGGATGATCTCCAGGTCACTATCGTAGCGGTGGGGCTCAGCCAGGGTGACGCAGGTGGTGGTGGCAGAACTGGCCCAGGGATCTGCGTCAGCTCTCAGGGCATGGGATGGGCTCTCCAGCCCTGCGGAGAGAGCAGTGCAGCAGGGCAGCCCCTCACATACCCCCTCCTCAACCCCCTGACCTGCCACACTCCACAGCAGTGGCTACTCCCTGCCAGATCTAATGGGATTAACTGGGCCGACAACCAGGAGCACATCCCCATCATTCCCTCCTTGCCCATCCTCTCCCTTATCCATCACATCTCCCTGTTTCACAGGAGGCTGTTGACCTAAAGCCGCTCAAACACACAGGCAGGGTGACTTTGAGGGGTCCCAGACCCAAGGGTGGGGGAAAAGGCTTCTTCACCTGTAGGGAGTGCAAGAAGATGCCTGAGGACAGGGGCTCACATCCTCTTAGAAGCATGGAAGGACCAGGGCACACCACACACATTTTGAAGAGGTTTTACACAACCACCTGATACCACCCAAGCTGCCCTTGCTACCTGCCAGCAAGCAGGGGCCCTTCACCAGCAGCTCGAAGGCAAACTCATAAGGAAAAGGGTTGTAGGGTCGTCCCCGAAAGACATCCATGCTCTCCACGGGTGCCTTGGTGGGTGTCTGGCTCCGGGCACCTGGCCCCCCGAAACAGCTGGTGGGGCTGCAAGGGGAGAGCGGATGATGGCTCCTGCCCTCTCTTCCCGCTTGCCCAGCATTTGCATCTCCCCCCCCAGGGATGGTGGAGACTGAGGAAGTCATGAAAATCACCATAGGGCCAACCTGTCGTCACACAAGCTTGCCGGCTCGCTTTCGGGGTCAGCGGGGACACGGGGCGTGAGGATGGGAGGCAGGAGGAGGCGCAGGGCCCCGTCTGGCAGTGTGGGCAGCTCCTGCGCTGTGCTCAGGGTGACAGCCAGGCTCTCCAATGGGCAGAGTGTGCCGGTGCCGATGATGAAGGTGGAGCGCTCTGCATCTTCATCCAGGACAATGTGGCCTGGGCAGGGGAGGGATGGTGGCGGGGTCAGCAAGGCGTACGGGGTTGTGGAGGAGGGCATTAATGGCCCTGACTGCTCTCAAAGGTGGCAGCAGGGCTCAGGTATGTGGGCCATGCCAAAGGTGGGCAGAACCCTAGGAGAGGTGGAGGGAGGGGAAAGGAGGTGCTGACATTTCCAGCCCCAGACACCCCTTAGAAGGTGCTGGGGTGGCCTGGCAGGGGTCTCAGCCCCTCATATCCCCCCATACTTCACCCTGCCCATTCTGAGCCTGCTGGCCAGGAGCACCCAACAGCATCACCCATGCCACAGCACTTACCGCTGGCACAGCGGCACGGCCGGCCGGGGCTGGGGCTGCACTGGAGGCAGCAGTCCTGTGCCCGGTGCCGGTTCTGGACCTGGAATGTCACCCGCCGGCTGCCCACCGCTGCCTCAAAGCTGGCCACCACCTCCGACTCCTCCAGCGGGTAGATGAAGATGCCTGCAGGCAGGAGAGAGCCCCGAGGCAGATCCCGGCATGGCCGTATCCGTGGCACGCAACAGCCCGTGACAGCCCTGCTGAGAACCTCTCTGACTTGCAAGGTGATTTAGATGCACGAGAACAAGGCACCATGCAGGAAGGACCCAGAGCCTCACTAACCCAGAGGGAGGATGAAATCCCGCTCTTTCTCAATGATTGGAATGTTTTTGCTCAGTCTCACTCTCCTCTTGCCCACAGTGGGTAGCAGTACCCCCACCTCCGCTGGCCTCCACCTTTGCTCCCCAAACTGAGCAAGGTTTGGGAGTTGGGACACAGGTGGGCTGGAGACAGGATGCTCTTCAGCATCATGGCTTTTAGAAGGCTGTGCAGGCAGCCTGGGTCTCTGCCAGCCCTGATAGCCCCCTCTTACCTTCCACAGGCTCCTCGTGGGGGTTGGTGTACATGAGGTGAGCAGTGATGCTCAGGGTGTATCCGTTGGCACAAGCCTTCACTGTGGAGCTCTTCAGGGGTAGAGCCTCCCAGGAGGAGAGGGCATAGAGGCCCGGCATGGTCCCTCAGCGTGCAGCTGTGAGCAGAGGGGAGGCAGGGACTGGGTGCTGAGGGACGGGGTCTGCTGGAAGGGGCTTCTGTGCGCAAGCCATTTCCATCTGCCCAGTCTGCAGGGGGGAGCAGGTCTCCAGCCCTCCCCCATCCTGGGGATGCTACTCTTCAGCATCCACAAAACACATACACCTGGTCCCAGGTCTCTGCTCAGACCGGAGCCACAGGAGCCCACAGAGAGGGGAACAAAACTCCCGTGGGCAGTGGTTACATGCAAGCCCCAAGCCCTGGCAAACAAGCAGAGACTCCTAGATAATGGCCAGCCACACCCAGCCCATCTCTCAACCACCCCAGAGCAGCTCCAGAACCTCCCCAGGTCATCTCTTTCAGTGGCTGGGAGATGAACATCTGCTGCTCCCATCTCCATTCACCCCAGAGGTTACCAGGGAAATTTGTTTAAAAGAAAAAAAGGACAAAAAAACCCCAACCAAAACCATAAGGGCGAGAAGCCCACAGTGTAACTAGGACAAAGACACGAGCAGTGTTTGCTGGGGGTTTAATAATTAACAACAAGGTCAGCGCTGCACTGAAGAACAGCACAGTGGGGAAGGCACTGCAGGGTGGAGCCTGGCAAGTGGACGATCCTCGCCTCTGGGAGAGTAATGCTTTGCCCAGAAATGGATAAGTCTGGTGTCCCACCCTTTGGGAAGAAAAGAGGCAGCTGAGGATGCCTTCCATGCCTGGGCACCAACCCACTCTACATCTTTCTTCCCCTTGGGGAAAATACCTAGGAGCCACATCCCAAATAATTGTCTGGAGCCAACGCAACTCTCTAACATCAGCCCACCCTATGCCATCAAATATTTGTGTAAAATATTTGTATCAGCCTTAGCCCTGGCTGTGTGGATCTGTGCATAGTGTGCATGTAGTCTGCTGCAGACATGGGTCTGACTTCTGCTCTGTATCCCCTGCCTGCCCCAAGCACCTATGACCCAACAGCAGCAAGGTTCCCCCTCAACACCATGTGCTGGTGCTCCAGCATGTAACATGCCTGGGGCAAGGACAAGGCCAGGTACAAGTAAGCCATCTGGTGCCCCCACTCCAGTGGCCTTCATCCTGGGAACAGCTCATAAGAGCATCGGTAATGGGAGGCTTGGGGTGCTCTTGGCACGCGGTCACAGAGTGCCTCTCACAGAGCACCCTTGAAAGTGGAGCAGGGATACATCCTTGGAGGCAGCACCAGGACCAAGCCCACAGCCAGCACAAGGCAGGGAGCCTCACAGAAGTGTATTAGCAATGTGGCTGCATCCCAGAAAAATCAGTCCATTAGGCCTGAGGAGAGACATTTACCTGCTCAACAGGCACTGCAGGGTTACGCTGGTAGATCCTGGCCACTCAACCACTCCCCAGCATCACCAATCCCCCACCCTGTGTGCAGGATGCTGCACACACTGCTGAGCCCCCCAGACTGCTCTCCCAGAACACAAAGGTTGCGCAGGGTCCCTGCACAGCCCACTGTTCCCCCACACTGACTGCCACAGCTGGGAACATCATCAGCTTCTTCCTGCCCTGACCGCAGCACCCAGACAGGCTCTGGAGACCAGGACTCCCCTGACCCAGCCACACTGAGCTATTAAAGACATATTTCACCCCAAAGCCTTTCCATTTGTTCCCAAGGCACCCCGTTAGATGCTCAGCAACCTGCCCACTATTTGCTGTGCCGCCCATTAGCCAGGTCACTGCCAGCTTGTTTACCAGGGACTTACTGGAGAAGGTGTCCTGGTCGCTTTTTATCACTTCTCTTTACATTTACCCTCACAGAGTAAACAGGGCCCATCTGGCCCTGCCACGCTTCATGCTGGCTGCTCTAAGCCCTGTGGTAATGAATAAAACCAGACCCTATGGTCCTCACCCCACTCTCTTCGTCCTCTTTCCCCAGGGCAGCAAATTGTCCTCAGGTGCCAGCGTGACATCACCAACAAGTCCCCAGACCTCTCCCCATCCCCAGCATGATTTCCAGTCCCCTAACAGCCCCCTCTTCTTCTTTCCTTCTCACCTACTGCCCACACGAGCTGGTTTAACCAGCAGCATCCCCAGTACAGAGGGGCCACAGGAGGCAGTGAGCAGCTCTCTGTGCCGGCAGCTAAAAGTCATCTTTGAAGGAAAGGAGGTAACTCTTCCTTATGTCAGAATAATTCAGGCTTTCTCTTCTCACCCATGGGCAGGCTGAGTTTTCCGGAGAGGTTGCTGCAGGGAGGCAGGCGCCTGAGTCCAGCTGACTCTCCTCAGCTGTCTGACGAGTTGTCAGAGTTTCACCTGCTGCAGCAACAGCTACCTGCACCAGGGTTCAGGCTGGTCCCAGAGAAGGAAGGGGCCAGTGCCAGCATAGGCAAACCAAGCGGAAATTTCCACTGGTGACAGATACACAGGCAGGTACAAGAGGAAGGATGGAGGGAGAGGAGACCAAACCTCTGCAACAATGCTTGGAGTGAGGAGGTATTGCTGCCCCTCCTGCTCGCCCACATTACTCCCTGCTTCCCTCACCTCCCCTCTCTGTGGGACATCCCATGGGGCACAAAGACATGAGAGCAGGATCCATCCCAGCTCCTGGAGCATGGAGAAGATTATGGAGGCAGGAGGCATGGTATAGACAGTGGTGGTGGTGCTGCTGCTGGCCTGTGCCCATGGGACATGCCACTTTGTGGAGACCAGACAGGATTGAAGAGGAAAGAGATTCCCAGATGAGGCAAAGGGCTGTCTCCAGCCTATGGTACTGTCTGCTTTGTCTGCTGGGAAGTGGAAATAGAGAGTAGAGTCCACTGCACACATGCGTGCAAGCATGCACACACACCCTGGTTCTGACACCACATCCAGGACCACCACCTCCAGGACCTGTGCTGCTGCTCTTGCCTCCCCAGAGCCACCAAAACCCCTGGAAAACCCCAGCCCCATGCCAGGGAACAACAGTTACTTGTCCTCAACGCATCCTAACACAGGCACCCCCCTCTCAAAAAAATTTCAGAGCCCCATGGATTTCCCCTGACATGGACACGTCCCAGCTGGGCAGCCCCACAGAAGGGTCCCAGTGCTCCTTCACCACGAGACAGCTGTGGCGTGGGCCAGGGGCTGGTTGCAGATACCTTGGAGCATGTTCCCAGCAGTTACTGGGGCCAGCCCTGCCCAGTCCCTGCCAGATGGTGATTTCAGCACTTTTGTGGCCCTGCTGCCTCATCTTCCACCTCTCATCCCTCATGCCAACCGGGCTGCACTGGCAGTGGGTGTGCGACCATGGGACACCAAGGAATTGCAGGAGATGTGCAGGGTCCCAGGCCACCATAGTCCCAGATTCCCCCCCACCCTGGCCCTTACCTGGAGGAGGAGGAGAAGGAGGAGGAGGAGGAGAAGGAGGAGGATGACACAGGAGCTGCAGGCTCGGCTCAGAACCCACTGGGTCCCTGCCCTGTGCAGAGCCCTCTTCCCTGGGAATGGGTTTCCCTGCCCCTCTGGCTGGATGGCTGCAGTACCCAAGGGATGAGCGGTCCTTCCCCGCCTCTCCCTGCTGCAGGCTCCCTCTCTGGCACTGGCTCCTTCACCGCCCTCGCTCCATCCCTCACTCCCTGTGCCAGCAGCTGAGCTGCTCCAAGCCCAGCCTCATTAAAGAGACACACTCCCTGGTACCGCCGCCCGGGGGGGAGGTGGGGGGATGCTCTCACGGGGAACGCTGGGGGTCTCAGGGGATGGTCAACATCCCCAAAGAGTGACAGGGACCAGTCAAGAGCAGAGTCAACGGCTGTGGGCTGCTCTGCACCAACAGATTATCAATTTCCAGGCAAACTTGTATACTGGTGAGACCCCAGGTGATGCTACAACATCAAAACCACAGAGTTTGGCTGAGTGAGACATGTACCACACCCTGCATGTCCGTCCCCCCCCCAAACAGAGCACAGGGCAAAACAGCCCCCATCAGCCAGCTGAAGTCTCCAGTACAAATACCATGGGCCACAAATGTCACAACAAGCTCCACTAGGAAAGGTGTCAGCTGCCCTGGGACCACCACAAAACAGCCAGGTGCAGGCAGATGCTGCACATCCACCCCAAACCCAGATGCCCTGGGGTCCCACTAGGCTGTCCCCATTAGACTCCATGTACTGCAGTGAAATCTGCTCTGAGGAGCAGGAGAGAGGGGGAATTCAGGGACAGCCCAGCTTTTGGGTGACAAGTATGACAACAAACTCCCCTGGGGAGGGTGCAGACAGTCAGGAAGTCCCAGTGAAGTCAGGACATGTATGCTGGCAGGGAGATCTCACAGCCTGAGATGCACTGGGAATCCCTCCGCCACCACTGACAGATCTGTGTTCCCAAGTGGGACCAGAGAAATCCACCTGATTTGGGACTAATTCCTGCCCTGCCTCTCCCAGGCAGCTCCCTGTGCTATAGATAGGACTGTGCTGCTGCAGCTCTTTTTATAGAGCACACAGAGAGGAGTCCCCCACCCCACCCCCAAGCACTGCAGAACCCACCACTGCAGCCATGCCAAACCTGGAGCCAGTCCAGGCACAAACTGGGGCAGAAAGCTCCAGCAGCACCACGAGGGGAGCAGCCCCTAGTCCTCAGCAGGTATTTTTATATCTCACCTCTAAGTTGACCCATATGTCACTACAGCTTCAGCTTCTTGACACAGGTTTCACAGGTGATGGCAGGAACAACGGAGGGAAATCTTGGCGGAAGACATCCTTTGCTGCACGTGAGACACACTCCCCCGTCTTGACCCCTTACCCTGAGATTCAATCAACAATTATCTGGCCAAGAGGCACTCTGTGGTTCCCTAGGGTCCTTGCAAGAGCACTCTGAGCCATTCTCTCTCCCATGCGAGATGCCCTACGGCACGCTGCTTCCCCTCTCCGTGCTGCACAGAGAGCGAGCTGAAGTGTGCAGCTGCTCCCCTTCCCTTTCATTTACAAGAGAAGGATGCTAACCCATGTATTATCCCCCCCCTGTGACAGCTGCCAGCTCTGGGAGCTGCTGGAGGCCCCGCACGCACCACAGCACATCTTCACAGCCTGCAGCATGCACGACACTCCTGCTCCCATCCTCATGGCAAGTGCTGAGCTGCTCCAGACCCACAAAAAACCCTGCAAGCTTTGATTTTTCCCTGAGAGATCATTTCTAGGCCAAGCTGAGGCAAAGAGAAGTGTCCAAATGTGAGTGCTGGGTCAGTGCCACCAGCCGGGGTGATGCGGCTTGGCCAGCCCACCGTGTCAGACGTCGGTCTCGGCGTGACAGCAGGTGAATAACAACAGCATGCACAGCACTGGGGCACAGGTGAACCTCCCCAGCCCACTGGTGACCACAGCAGCCCCAGGCAGACGTAGACAGGCTCCATCCCATTCTGTACACTGCTCCCAGCAGCATCAGGCATCAGGTGTGTGTGTCCCTGCTCTGCACTGTCACAGCTTCACTACAGTAGCTCATCACAGCCACAAATAGATCTGGAGAGGCTGGTGTTGCCTTTTGGCAGAGTGCTGAGCTAAGGCATGTGTTAAACCCTTTAAACACAGGCCCAGCTTAGCCCAATGGCTCCATTCATCATCCTCACACCCCAGTGACCCCACACAGCCCAGTGATCCCAGGCAGCCCTCACCAGCAGCCACAGCACAGCCCAAGGGACCAGTCAGGGCCTGGGTATTTATCCCCAAATGCCCCATACCTTGAACTGAATTATCATGCAGAGACGAGGCTGGCTGGAGGGGCTCGAACCACAGAGCTCTTACAGATGCTCTCAGGTCCTGAGTCACTGATAGGTGTCACTGTGACTTTAGTGTGAGTTTAGTTATTTGGGAAATAACCCAAAACTCAAGGAGATACCAGCTGGTGTCAGGCTGGCAGTGATTGTGCTCAACACAGCTGCAGCTTCTCAGACCCCACCGAGGGCTGCAAAGGGAGAGGGTTGGCCTGCAGGGAGAGTGACAGGGGTGTTCTGTTTGGCTGCTCCATAATCAGCAAGAACTAAACAAGACCTTGAGGATGGGTAGCACAGAGGAGGAAGGGAATGCTAGTGATGTTTCTGGTCAAAATCAGGTGCACCTTGGCTTAACCTGTGTAATATCAGTCTGCCAAGTTGCAGGGAGTTACAGAGGGGTCGGAGGGAAAAAATGAAACAACACATCAGCAGAGATAGAGACGCTGGTAGAGACACCAGGGATCCTTGGGGAGAGGGGCTGGGAATACTGCCAGCACTTCTGCTTGCCCAAACTTAACTGAAGGCTCCGCAGGATGCTGGCGCAGGCAGATGGGGCTGGAAGCCCCTGTGGGGCTGGCTCTTACACAGATCCAGGACACGCACTGGTGTCTGCTGAGTTTCCTTTCGGCAGCCGGAAATAGCGGGGGCTCACAGCCTTGGGGGGGCACGGGGGGGATCGCGCAGCAGCCAGCCCGCCGGGATCAGGGAGTGGCGCCAGGCTCGCTGCCGAAAACGAAACTCCCCGGATTGGAGCAAAGCGACTCCCCGGATTTGAGGAAAGCGAAACTCCTCGTGCCGCTGACGCCCTGCCTCTCTTCTTCCTCCACAGCGGCCGAACCCTCCGCGGGCTGCGAGCAAAGCTCTGCGGTCTCTGCGCGGGGACCCTCCTCACACGGCAGCACAGCCGGGCAGCGGGTGCCCGAGGGTGGGTATTGCTGCTCCAGCTTCTCGCTGCCATCCTTCTCCCGAGGGTCTGCTCGCGGTGGGACGTGGCGGTTCAGATCAGCTTGGGCCATCGGGGCTCGGCGGGATCCCGTCAGGTCAGCCCGTCCCTTCGCAGTGGAGCCCGAGAGGCTCGGACCGCTCCCCACGGGCGGAGATGGGGTACGCGGGGGGCAGGCTCGGATCCCTGGCCACGAGTGGAGGCTGTCGGGGGCTTGTCCCTCGCCCGGACTAAAATGTTGTTTGGGGGCCTGGGGGCGGTGGGGGCATGAT